AGAAGAGTCTTTCGAGTATCCCATCATGGCCTTGACTTGACTTGGGCCTTCCTCCACAAAAAGCTGAACAGGTCTTTAACTCAACCATTAACTTTCTAGCAACTCAGTTGTCTCTAGGTTGCAACACCCGGTGCCTAGCCAGGTGAGGGAATAACTAGTTTGAACTTATTAGGACAGACAGCACTTCCTCCAAATGATGGTGCTGTATTTTATTAATAATACCCTATCCAGCTTTATACCCTAATTGCTGCCTCTGAGCCAGAAGCAGTAAAGGAGGGCAATGCTGCTCTCCATGCTGGGGCTTTCCCTGGTAGCCATCGTGTACTTTGCATTTAAGGTGGTGGGCATAAAACAGAAAAAGCACTTCTTCTAAAAAGAAGTTTGTTGGCCTTGAGCAGGAGGGCTTTCCAGTCACTAAGCTAATACTCTCTGAAGAGAAAAGGAAAGCATGACAGCATCTTGACAGTGCTTCTGGATGTCAAGGCCAAAATCTTTTGACACAATTTTTAATATGTAGGTCATGCATCTTGCAAAGCAGAGCCTTATAAATCTCTTCTGTTTCTTGCAGGAAGGAAAAAAGCAGAAATTTGGTTCCTTGGAAATGCCAACTAAACAGCAAACCAAAAAGCAGCAAAAGGGCAACCTTTACAGGAGTGGTTATTTGCACTGAGGAAGCTTTTGCTGGGGGTTTCCCTTTGCTTCTGGTCAGAAGACAGTTTTAATGAGACTGAACTTTGTGTATTGAATTTGGAATGAATAATACAGGCAGACTGTGTGCCCAGTGGGAGACTATTAGAAATTTTTGTATTAACATTTACTTTGAAAAGACTTTGCACAAAGGTAACTCATAGTTTGTCAGCTGCGGAAAATAACATAACTGATAATGCCATGAACAGGCTTCTGATAGAGCTGTAAACACTGAGACAGAAATTTAGGGGTTTTTTTTTAAAGGTATCAGCTGTGAATTCCCAGCCTCAGGGTGAGTCATTTAGACCAGATGCAACATTTCAAGGAAACATTTCTGGTGAAGTGACTAAAATAGTTGGAAAAGGCCCAATACAGCACATTCATAGGCATTCCTTGGGTCAGGTGAAAGAAGCTGTTTCTTAGAGACACCTGGGCCAGGTGGTATTCGCAGATTTTGTAGAGACAAAGGCCAAAGGAGATGGAGTTGCCCAAATAGAGGGAAGCTTCATCCAGAAAAGCAGGAAATACAGAGATGTCAGCACCCAGCAACTGGAGCAATATGTGTGAAGGGCTGTCCAGGCTCTCTGCAGAAATTAACAGCTGAAGAGTTGTGATTTGGTGAAAATATGATCCATGGAAAATACTTCGGAGGCTGAAGGGGAAGGAAATGTACTGCCTGAATAACACCAGGAGCTACTAATGACCGGCTAATGCAAAGGCCAAAAGAAATTCATCACCCATCAGCTTCAGGGTGTGTGAAAACTCAGTGGATTATGTTGTGTGATCAGTATTTCTATTGCTATTGTACTGGGAGTTGCCTTCAGGTAGGGACCCTGGAGGGGTTCTGGGCTACTGAAGCAAGTAAATGTGCTCTGGAGCAGAACTGAGCCCCTCCACAGAGAGCTGGCAGGAAGAAGTGTGGCTCCAGGGAGTTCTTTGGGCTTCAGGTTCTTCTAGAATGAGTATGGAGTGACAAAGATTAATTGCTCCCTGTGACTCCTCCAAACTAGGTCACTGTGCAATAGTTTGCCTTCATGAGCCTGTTGGAGTATTTGAAACTATAGCTGTGCCATCAGGTTTTCTCTTTGTCAGGATGCTGCCTCGTGGCATCAATAGTTGAGCTCTAAATAAGAACAAAAAATGTGATTGACATTACCAAACTCTAAGGACAACAGCCAAACGTTTCTCAGCCTGTCATGGCAAAGATGTGTGAAACATCCCACTTTGCCCAGGTATTAGGGAAATATTCACAGAAGACAAAGAATAGAAGCTATTGCTCTAGTACAACCCATTTACCTTGAATTTGCAAGGATTTGAGCAATGAAACTGGGTGTAGTATCAGGTGACATACCACAATGTGCCTTTGCTTTTTTTTTCTTTACATGTCACAGCGGATAACTGTGAGGTATTACACTGGGTGGTGGAAAATGGCCTTACCACAGCTACATGATCTTGAACTTCCCATACTGGAACTATTAAAACAATCCTACCCAGCGGCTTCCCGAACAACTGAGCCAAAGCTTTGCAATAACTGTAAGAAATGTAATTCCAAATAGCAGCAAACTTTCCTGCAGTCAAGAGCTGAATGTGTTATTGGTTTTGACCGGGAATCTGCATCATCCAGTTACACTGACACTGACAGATTAAGACAGAGCACAAAACACCCCAAGGTCTGCAGAGTACCTTTCATATTCATGCATACAGCAGAGATATTTCAGAGGATGAGAAATTATCTAATTTAAGAGACAAAAACTGAAGATACAAAAAAAAAAAACCCACAAGAGGAAGATCCATCTTAGGCCAAAAGGTCTCTGAAGCTTTTTTAGAAGACTAGCTAAGAACGTTTAACTCTCTGTTGATGTCACTGGCTTCTGCACAGAAGCTTTAGAGACAAATTGCACATGATGGATAGACCTGGATGGCAGAACAAACATTTCTGTCTCACTGATAATCTAGAATGGAGAATGTGGGAGTATCTCCCAGACTTGAGCAGGCAGTCTCATGCTGAAGCCTCTGAGGTCTAGTGGGCTTCCTGCAACCATGGAAATTACAACAGGGATCAAACTACTAATGCTTTCAAATTCTAGCTGAACAAAATAGGGAAAAGTTTCAGAGAGCACCTGGCAGTGATGCTGTATGGTTCTCTGTGTGGGATATTGCTGTGTTTGCATTATATTACACTTTTTTGTGTTTGATGGGTGAGGAGAGGCAAAATGAAGTTGGGCCAGAGCTCTTACTCAAAGTGCTCCTCTAAGTTTTAGACTTCTCTGTGTGAATGAAAAAATAACCTGGTAGAAGAAAGCTTTACACAGATAAAACTATGCCTGTAATAAAGTCTTCATCCTAAGATATTTACTTTATTGCACATCTGATCCCAGCTGAGTGAAAAGAGCAACAACAGGAATTTCACAGTACCCCACCCCAGACTTTCTTCAAGACCAATTCTATAACTGGTCTATATATATAGGTTCTGTGTGTGCAGGGATTATACTTATTGATCATATAACTGCACAGACTGAAAAGAAAAAAAAAAATAAGTTCAGACTAAAAATTCGCATTGCTGTATAAACGAAAACCAGCCACCACTTGTTCAGTGGGACAGGAGCATATCTGGTCTCCAATCCTGTAGCTGCCTGGCTGAACAGGGCTTGGGAGCTCTGAGGAGCTACCGCTGCCTAGGAGGAAGGGAGTGCCCAGTATTAGTCACCAGAAACCAGGTCTGAATCATTTCATGGAGTTCCTGATTCAGCAAGTTAAACATTGGTGAGAAACAGGAGATGAGTCCTCAGCATCCTGCACTGAAGCAGACAACTGCTGGGAAACCCAGGAGGAGACTAGTGACATGACTCCAGAGATCCAGGAGAATCAGGGACTGGGACGGGCCACCCAGCTCTTCATGGGCTTGAACCCAGGCACGAGACACTGGTGTGTGTGGTGGAAGGATATCCTGTCTCTGTGGAGGGCAGTGATGACAAGAGGTGTATGAGGTGGCCCTAGCAGATCACGGCCACGTTCAGAGTTTGCTTTTCCCCATCTAGTTTTGCTCACCCCGAGCAGACAATATGAAGGCTCACACTTAGGCCTCCTGTGCCCAAGAATGACTGCCCACAATTACGCAAAGCAAATGTGCCTTTGGAGAATGCCACATCAGCAGTCCTCCTAGGGCGTGCAGAGGATTAGTGCCAGCCCCGTATGATGTTTACATAAGAGGATTTGATCTATGCTTCCTAGTGTGATTCACAGGGCTCTGCCTTGCTGGAGTAGCTAAAAGTTAATTCCTCTTGCCTCTGTACTTGGCCCTGGTACTCTGCTTTCTACAGCAACTGCACTGGTAACAGTAACATGGCAGCAGGTGTTACTGTTCAATTTTAACACAGATATTTTTGATTGGCATTTTTGTTTCTTCCTGTATTTTTTTCCAACTGTACTTTTTGAGCCTACAATCTTATTTTTCAACTGCAAATCCTGCTTTCTTTATTTAGATGAAAACCAGAACACTAACATTTAGAAATACAAGGTTGCCAGCACTGTTTAAACACCCTTCTTTAAATATATAGGTTTGGAAAAACGAAACTGGTGCCTCTGTACTTTGACGAGCTAAAAATGACACTGGTTTCAAAGATATGGAGCATAAAAAGAAATTAAATGTTAAACTAGAAATAACTCAGTTTCCACTTGGGCTCCAGAAACTTGCACAGCTTTCTATACAGGTAGTCACTATGGCACCAACTTATTTATCGATCACAAAATGTAGTAAAAAGTTTGAGAATTTCACAGAATATCACTGTAGCACTACGGTTTTTGTTTGTTTATTTATTAGGGATAATAGTTTCAAAAATATGCTTGCTCATGTAATTTCTTATAGATTTATAAGTTTTCTATTCAAAGTCTTGGTATTTCCTCTTCCTGCTGTTTGATCAGTGTACCCATTTTGTATCTGTTTTCTGCCTTTAACTAGTTCACAAGACTCTAATGCAAGAATCTAAGAAAGCTTCACTTTAGGAGCAGTGTGCAGGTAAACCAGAAGGCATAGTAAATAACCATGTTTTGAGCAGGATCAAGAGTTTAATTCTTGAAAGTTCTGGACATGACCAGGCCTGCTTTGGCTCAGACTCGATTATGATACTGAATCATCTCTATCTGGCATGACTACTGCTACGTAACATTTTCATGAAGCTTTTATGTTAAAATGCAGGTTTTCGCTGCTATCTTATCTTGGGCTGTTCTTCTTCCTTTTGCAGATTGTTTTTTGTTTTGTTTAATTTTTAAGTGTAGTGTGGCTTTCTGGGTACTTCCAACACCAGCAGATGTTGCTTAAGGAAGAAGCTGAACTCCCCAGATCCATCTGTTGTCGTTTGCCCACATGGTTCCCTGAGGATGTTTCTCTTACTAGTGTTTCCATGAAAGCAGGCTGATGGCTGGCTACACAATCCCCAGCCAGGAAGTCCCCTTGGCTGCTTTTCCTCTAGTCCCTTTGTTCTGACACATTCAGCTTTGGTGGGCTGCAAGGAGTCAGGCCTCCTCCTGGAAGAGCTATTGAGTTTACTTGAGACACTCATGCAATCATGCTGTGTGTGTCAAAGTACAATGAGAAGCAAAGGAATGCTAGCAAGAGAAAATCCTTTATAAGCTATGATTAAGATATTAAAAGAATCATTATTTATTACTCAATTTTCTATCACAGCAACCAAGATCAAAGGTTTTGCCTTTTAGTCCCCTATGAAAACCTTATCTGGATCAAGTTGAGTCATAGTATTCAGTTTTTCTGTGGAACTCTCTCCTACATGGGTTTTTCAGGAGCTTTCAAATATACTTTCTTCAGCTCAGCCCTCCATGACCATCTCCTTCCCATTCACCACTTAAGTCATTTATGCACATATAAGTCTGTATTTCATTGCTTACTGTTTGTTTTGGAGCCACAAGAAACCCATTTGTCTTTGAAAAGCTTAATTTAATTTCAAAGTAATTTTAAATATGTCGGTTTAGAGCTGCTCTGGTTTTAATTTTTTTCTTCATTTGGTTTCAATATATTGTCATTTTTACATTTTACTTGAAGAATCCAAAGGGATTATAAACCCACTACAGTATGAAACATGAAATTATATGTTAAGAGTGTTGTTGCCACAGAAGCAGTTTGCTTCCACTGTACAGTGACTAGCAGCTCACTGTATCTGTGTACAACTGCTGCAGTAGCTGTGTGGGAGCTGACTACTGCAACTAACCAAAAGTGCCCGTGCAGGGTGGTGCATGCAGCTGCTTACAGTCTGAGCCAGATGGATGTTATCAGACTGGTCTGGGTATCAGGTAGCTGCACTCACCAAAAGCTCAGAGCCGTGTTGATAAGTCCTGCAGAGAGAACAGTTATGGTAAATACAAGCACAGTGTCACAATGCTGTGGTTTCAGTTTTCATATCAGAGCTGGCCTGCAGCCTGGTAGCTCTAAGTATAAGAGCAGGCAAGCAACTCTCCACACTCATCCATATAGACATAACCGCTGAGGTATGTATAAGGTCTTTTAATATTCCAGAGAGGGCATCAGTTCCCAAATGCTCTGTCTTCTCTGAGTTCTTAGCTCTCTCTGTTAACAAAATTCCACCTCCACCCTGATGTGTGCCCAGATGTCTATACCTCGGTTTGGACAGGCAACACTGACAGCTCTTGTGTTGCTGATGGGAAAGCAGCACCTGCAAAGAGAGCGGCAGGTTCTTATTAAAAACAAATTTCTTCAAGAAAATCAACTAGTTACTCAGGAGCCTCAACTCTGGCTTCCTTGGCCCTCCAACCTACCACAGCTCCTCATCCAAGGCAGCACTTCGTCTTTTGAATCTTTTGTACTCTGGTGTATAACAAAAGACTGGGATATCTCATACTCAGCCATATTTCAGCTTATGCAGACTTGGATTTGATACAATTTTATAGGACAGTACAACATGCTTGCCCGGTTGGAATGAGCTGGCACTGAGAACTGCAGCAAATTCCTAAAGTACTGGCTATATCCCATTTGCAGAATTGTTCAGCCCCATGCTGTTACTTAAGCATCTGGCAGGGGCTGTGTTACTCCCGTCCGGCTCAGCTGGTGCAACTTCTCTTTTTTTTCTGCCCTGACAGATCTGGTATCTCCTCTGAAGAGTGAAAGAGAGGAGACAACACTCATGAGCTCTGTACCTCATCTCCTCATACCTCACTGCTTCCCCCAGAGCCTTATAGCACAAAAAAGTACTGCACAGCACATTTTAAAAGAAAATGAAGCGATCACAAATGAACATGGAAGCCGAGGGAATAGAGCCTTGAATGATCATACCAGTACAGCCTATACTGGGGCTAACCCGCACAGATAAATATCTCTGTAGTGCTTCTTGGGAGCCTTTATGTCCCAGTGTGAGAGATGAGATAATAAGCACTTGGAGACGTGTTAAAGAGACGTCAATCAGTCCACAGCAATAAAATATGAGGGAAGATCTTTCTAAACCTACCAAGCTGCACCATAAGAGCCTTTGGTCTCATCTTTTTTTTTTTTTTTCTATTTTACATGCAGAACTGAAAGAGATGCTTACCCACAGCAGCAAAGGGGAAGTTCCAACAGTGAAGAGCCATCATTTATACAATCCAATCCAGAAACAGAAATGAAAGAGAAAACCAAAGAGCAAAAGAGAAGTGCTTATCTGAGAGACTGTATACAGAATGACAGTACTAATGTTAACACAGGCTACCTGAAAGGACAGGAAAATCCAGACATCCCCTTACTCATACTTTATATATCATAGAGCATATAACTGAGTTAAGATGGAGAAAATATCTGGAGTTGTCTGAAGGGCAATGACAGAAAGCTAATCATCAAACTCCTCAAGCTCTTCCAGAAGAGAGATTTTAAAAAGACAGAGAAGACACACCACATGCACAGAAAGCAGGAAGAAACAGATGGAACTGTTTTCAAATCGTAAGGCACTTAATCAAATTCTACCACCAGAATTTCATCCTGCCTCATCCTGCAAGTTGATCTCCATGTGCAGATGTCACTGACATTGGTCTCCTTCTTTGAGGATCAAGGGCCCAGGCATGAACCAGAATCCACAGTGGCTGATGTGTGCCCCCTTTGCGTGCTTCCTCTATTGTTCTGTTCAGCTTGTGCGTTGCAATCAACAGCACCTCATAAAAAATGCCTCCCTATGACACAGGTTCCACATGCATTGGCAGGTAATCTGGGACTGAATAAACTCTGGCCAAGAATTTCAGATGGAGGCATCTGTGGCTGAGCTTCTGAATCTGCATGGAGACAACTGGACAAATGATCAAGTGTGCTGATGATTTTAAAATTGTAATGAAAATCAGTTGCACCTGACCAGTCTGAGTATTAATTAACATCTTTTCACCCAAGCACAGAAAGACTTTGGCACTGGCACATCATTGCAATGCAGTTGGATGTGCTCATCTGAAAAGATACATATACCCAAGTTTATCACCATTTTTGGTAGAATCCCATTTAACTGAAAGAACAAGTTTTCAATGAAGTTTCAACACTAAGAAAATCTTTAGGAACGTAAGGATGCAGTCCTGTGTATCTTTAGGCAGAACAAGGTATTGGTTCATCTATTCTCTGTTCAGGCCCATTCCTTTTCTATTTCTTCCTTCTTTCTCTGTCCTTCTAATCAATCAGTGCGTTCATTCCGCAGTCAGGGATGTTTCAGCATGAGATGCCTCTTCTTACAGCAGAAAATTCAACACGTGGGATTTACCACAAAGTGAGCAGACACACTGATACCCAGCATGATTCTGTGGGTATAACCATACCACACTATACCATGTCAGCAGTCTTGGATTTCTACCAGACTGTGATTGAGAGAAGTGCTGTGTTAGAAAGTTCCAGCTTTGCTGAATCAATGTGGAGTATGGGTGGAATAAATATCACACACCTTGCTGTCACACCAAAATATCTATCCACTACACCAGAAACTGCCAGGTTGCCAAACACTGGAGGAGGCAGTAATACTGTGCTGACAGCAAAATAGGGCTGAATTGCTGCACCCTTGGGGAATGAATCTGGAAAGTCTGGAGCATACAAGCAAGGAATTTAAATGACATATGGGCAAACAGGAGCAGTTCCCTTCACTGACAGTACTCTTATGCACAAAGCTAACCTTTGGTGGTTGTGGTGGGATTGAGCCCTTTGTGTTCTGTCTCCCAAGTTCTCTATAACCCAGTGCACAGCACTGCATGGGACAGGGAGGGCATGAGGACACTGCAAATGCATTAGGTCAAGTAACACTGGTTTGTCATTCACCTCATACTACAGACACACAACACCCATTTCTAGTCAGCCTCCTCCGAGGTTTCACCTTTTATACATCAAACCTGTATGCCAATCACAACTTATTAGGTCACACAAGATCAGACCAGTCCACTCTGCCTGGTGCCAGGATCACAGTAGGCAAGGGGGACAATTATATGGCAATTGCATGACACTGATGTAGCAGTAGGGAAATCTGAAGTGGTGGTCAAATAAATGAGGCCAGGGCTTATTTCATGCTTCTTTCCAGATATGTATCCACAGCAACAGTTCACGCTGCAGCTCACAGTAGTGATACTACACATAGCACTATTGCCAGCAAAATACTGCATCCTTGCTTTACTCAGAGGGAACTGGTAAACCGAAATCACAGAGACTGCCATGATTTTTATCATGGTAAAGCTGAAAGCAGGCCCCCACTTGGCTAGTGTGTATCCTAAATTATGAGCCCAATCAAAATGTCGTCATCCCTTCCTCTGACAAAGTAAGTTCTGGATTGTTACATTTAATTCCTAAAATGTAAAATTCAAAAAGAAATTGAGGATATTTTTTCCCACTAGGTTAACAAAAATCATACGATGATGAGGGGTTAAGCAAACAGAAAATCAAAGTAAAACAAATAATAAAACTCCCCAAATTTACCACTGTTTATCTTGAAAATATTCACTGAGTAAAAAGTAACAAGGGTTTGTTCAAAATAAATCTTGTAGACAATCCTGAATATTAAAATCCCAGTATATCATATATCCTCTGTTTTCTTCATGCACAAGTTTTGCAATGCTACAAATATTGGAAATAAAGCCCTCCAATGACTTGAAGCTGGCATGGGAAGTGAAGCAGCAGGAGAGTCTTGAGCCACTGGTGCTCATTGCAGGCATGCCTTCAGCACACAGGTCCAGTACAGGCAAGTAAAAGACACACCATAGATCCACTAGGTGGTAAACCCTGTTTTAGGGTGCTCAAAAATGCAGCCAATTGATGCAGAACACTGATGTGATACAAAGTCATTTTGGCAGCTCAAGCTTATTGAAACTTTTCCAAAAGGACAACTTTTCCCTCGCAGATTCAGTGCTGGTATGTGCATCGTTTCTGTGTCATCTATCATAACACTGAGGCAAATGACGCAATTAAAGGAGCAGCAGAAAGAATTATCTGGAAGAGTGGTGTTATGGAGAAGGGTTAAAAGAGCTTAATACATCCAGTTTTGTTAAAGCAGAGGTACATGGAGAAATGTCTCCAGCCAGCAAATGCTTAAGTAATGCAAACCTTAAGGATGGAGAGGAAATACTTGGGCTTCTACATATGGGAACAAGTAGGAGTAAATGAAAAGAGGGTGGGGAAAGACTGAATGTCAGAAAATCTTGTTGGCAGTGAAGAGCAGAGCTTGTGCAAATTTTTTCAGAGGAATTCTTTTAGTTATTTTAAAAATAATTTGAAAAATAATAATAAACAAGCTAAGTAAGTCTGTGCTAGCAGGAAAGTTGATTGGATTACCTAACTGTCTTATTTCTCCCCATTTCTTTCTTTATTTTCTACCAATTAATCATGTACAACATTTGGTAAAAGCAAAGAGAAAGTAACCTGAGGTGCATTCATGACCTGAAATCTCAGTGTTGATTTAAGAGACTCTATTTCCCACTGTGAGTTCACGTCCTCCCAGCAGAACAGGAGAAATGGACCTCACAAAAATTTCTCATTTATTCAAGTGCAACATCACTTGGATTTGATCCATGTCCCACAGAACGAGGTAACTCCCTGCAGGAGAGAGACAAGGTGGTTCAAACAATGGATTATTGCTTTTGGAGTCAGTCAGGCAGATCACGTCTTACTGAGTATCAGTAGTTGAAGAGGTTACAAGTCCTAACTAACCAGATTGACACTCTCCCAGGAATTTCTGCCTTCATATCAAAGGTGGCAGAAACTACACATCTGTATTTTAGTAGTTCTGGTTCCTTGTCCAGGAAAAAAAAAAAAAAAAAAGAGTATAAACTATCAACAAAGGTAACTTCCATGATAATTAAGTACTGGCACTTTGGTATGCTTAGGAGGAATATTTTAAACTACCGCACCTCAGTAAATGTAGCGGTCTTCAGGTGCACACCTTTTCACTGAAGGTAGGCAAGGCTGAAGGTGGACTGACCATAGCTCTTCTGGTGTTAAATTTACTCTGCTCTAGCAGTCATGCTGACAAAGCTGACCATGATTGCAGGAATCAGAGTACAGTTCCCCATTTGAAAGTCTTTCCGATGTGTTCTCCAGTAGAACAGGGCATTTCTTCATCTAACGAGCTGGTTGTTGAACTTTAGTGTCTCAGTATTTATGCAATTTCTCTTTATCAACACAACCAGATTTTTATAAGGACTATATTCTACCCCTTGTCATAGTTTATTGTAAGAGGCTTTTTTTTCAGTATAGAAATCATATTTTAAAAATTGTTCAATAGGCCGAAGCAATACTGCAATATCCAAATATTAATATTTATATGCGCTGCGTGCATAAACCAAGCAACTTGAGGAGTCTCAAACATGTATGAAATAATATAACCCAGATTAAATCAGAAATAAATTAATGGAATGCTTTTTGCTTTATCACTTACAGACATTGGACCATATTGCACTGGTTTTTCCTGCACAGAAAACAGTGGGAGTTCTGGACAAAGATGAAAGGGAGAATACGTACTGTGAGCTGTTTGTTTTCTACGCATTTTATGTTCTGTGTTTCGAACAAATAAAAACTTCCCATATTTTAATGCTGTAAGGTTTAAGATTCATAGATACCATAAAGGTAGGACTCATGGTTCTTCTCTCATGTATATTATGGCCTTTTTTTCTTTAATAGCATAGCTGGCATTTCCATTTTTACTCTAAGGCAGATGTTGCCATCCTTACATCTTAGTTTCATTAGAGTTCCCATTCATTTCAGTGGGTAGGATGCTCTACAGCATGAATTACAACAGCAAGTCTGGATGCTCGGTTGTGCAACACTGGATTTGAAACATGAGAAATAGGAAAGAGCTGACTTCTTTTTCCAGAAGAGTAATGCAGAAGCTTAGTTTGGATATAAAATCAAGGTCATACAAGGTCCACCGTAATAAAGATGTAGCATTAATTGCTGTTTGTCTTTCTGAGTTCTTAGGTTTGGTCATGCTCTTTGATGTACATACCTATCCCCCACAGAAGTCAACATGTGGGCTTCTGCTCACAGCAGTGATATGGCTTTATATTTACTATGGTTTGGGTGGTTCTGATAACTGTGGACGGAAACTCATGCTCATAAGTCACTGATTTGTGTGTACCCATTTTCAATGCAGTAGTCAAAAGATTATGTAACTTTGAAAGATTAGTAATTACAGAGAAGCACTTAACTTGATTCCTCCTCCTATGTCTTCAGGAAGTGACCACTGTTCCTGGGGAAGGTTTCGACCCAGTGTTTCCAACTTTCCATTTCACTCTTAAAAATATACCTTGTTGCTGCTGTGGCCATAGTTCAACAAAACAGCTGTATCCAGACTGTCAAGGTGTCTTTGGGGAGTTCTAAGAAACAAGAACAGTGTGTGTTAAGTTTGTGCAAAAAGCTGTAACAATACTATTTTAGTTAGGTTGTTAGTCAGGCCCTTAGAGACTCTGGGTTTATTACACTACCCAAGTCTTTTATGCTGTTGTGAAAGCTGAAACTCAGTGACATGTTCAACCACTTCAAAACCAAATGTGACATGTTGATCAAGCACGGAAATGAGCTAAGGAATAGCACATGGGGGCATACAGGTTTTTATTCTAAAAATCTAAGGCTTTTCTTCACTAAAGAGAGACTATCTGTGCTACAGACTTTTCCTTCTGACGCTTTCTCCAAAAGGGCTTTGGCTCTGTAAATCCTGATCTTGGATAGGCAATACCCAATTCGTATCACTCACTGGGAGCCATGGCACACCTGGCATCACAGCTCCTATCAGTACTGGTTTCATGGACCCATCTCCTAGTGCAACGTCCTCTCGACTGTCACCAATCCCACACGTTTCACAGCTTGCCTTCTCCCCCATCGCAAATTGGCTACATGCATTCACAAAGGCTTTCTGGTCACTCGTGTCCCTCAAAGGCACAGTGGGTACACGTCTTCTCCCAGCAGCGGCAGACGCGCGGTATCACGCCCCGGCTCCAGCACAGGCCTCACACCGCGCCTCAGGCGAGCAAAAACCTCCCTGTCCTCCCGTTCTGTTGCTGGCAAAGGTGCTGCGCCGACAGGCCCGGCCCAGCAGCGGGGGAGGGGATTTCACCACGGGGAGGGCTGCCGACACCCCTGCTCCACAACACTCCAGGCCCTCCAGGAGGGAAGACAGCACATGGGAAATGGGCAGAAACACCGGAGAGAAACGCGCCCGCCACCCTCAGCAAGGCCGTCGCGCACAGGCACAACGCCCCGGCGCCAGCCCGCCACCATCTTGGACACGGGCAGGAGAAACCCCCACGGCCTCCGCAGGGAAACAACAACAGCGTCACCACAGCCCTCGCGGCGACGGGGAGAAGAGAGCGCTAAGGAGGCGGGCTGACCCCACCACGAGCAGCCGGCTCTTACAAAAGACATAGTGTCGCGTTTAAGAAAGAAATAAAAATTTTTAAAAAATTAAACCAAAACGACACAGCCGCCAGCCCTCTACCCAGACCATGGGGGAAGTGAGGGCGCCTTGCCCACACTTAAAATGGCACCTGCTCTGCGCCCTCTCCCGGCGGGGGGCGGGGCCTGCCCGGAGGCGGGGCGGCTCCGCCTCCATCGCCCGCCCGGGACACGCGCGTCAGGAGCCGCAGCGCGCGCGCTCGCGGGGGTGCCCGCCCGGCCCCGCCCCCGGCCAGCCCCGCCCCGCCCCTCCCCGAGCTCCTCCGCGCGCGCGCCGCGGCCCGGCCGGAGCAGTCGCGCACAGGGACACCCGGCGCTCCCGCAGCGCCGGCGGCAGCGCGATGACGGCGGCGCCCGCCTGCCCCCGCTGCTCCCCGCGCTGCCCCCGCTGCTCCCCCGGCGGCTGCCCCTTCCCCCGCGCCGGCGGCTGGGCGGCCGCCTGGCGGGGTGCGGCGCTGCGCTTCGCGCTGGCGCTGCTCCTCCATACGGCGCGGGCCGAGAAGGAAGGTGAGACCCAGATTTCCCTTCCCTTTCTTGTCCCCCTTCCCCCCGCTCCTCCTCCCCACCCTCCGGTGGCGGCGGGGCCGTTGGCGGCCGTGGCCCGTGGCCCGCGCCCGCTCCCGGGCGACGGCGGCGGGGTGGGGGGAGGCGGCCGGGAAGGCGCCCCGGGGTCGCCGCCCCTAGTCCCGCATCCCGCCGCCTCCCGCATCCCGCCGGCTCCCGTTGCCCTGGGTGTGCGGGCAGTCGCGCCGCTGCGTCCCCCGCCCGGCTGCCGGCGTGCGGGTGTGTGTGTGTCTGTGTGTCCGTCCGTATGTGTGTCGCTGACGTTTGGCGGGGGTTTCTCCTCCCCTGACAGCGGCGAGGATGGAGCTGGAGCTGCCCTTTAAACAGGGGAAAGGGGAAAGAAAGAAATTAAAAAAAAAAAAAAAGAAGAGGGTTTCTCGCGCTGAGCTGGTTTCCCTGCGGCAGGCTTCCAGCGGGAGACCGAGCCAAGCCAAACAGACGGGCGAAGCTGCATGAGAAAGGGCAGAAATGCGCGCTTTTGCATGGGTTGGGTTTTGATCCCTCACCAAATGAGAGCGGGACCCCCCTTTGCCTCCCCGAACTTTTGACAGGTGTCCGGCGCCTTCGCGGGGTCTGTGGCGTTTTCTCCAAACTTTATAAAGTCCCCGTCTGACTTTCCCTAACTCGCAGTGTCTGTGATTTTGGCACGCTGTCTTTTCATTGTGGTTTAGCAAGGAAAAAAAGCCCCGAGCGAAACACCTAAGCATATTCTGTAGCATTGCTGAGAACGGCTTTCATGCATTTCCAAGGTGCAGACTCGTGGTCTACTTAAAAGCGTTGCTGTTTGGTAGCATTAAAATGCAGCAGGTAAGTATAATGTAATGCAGAAGTAGGTGAAACAGATTTACTTTGGCTGGACAGGAGAATTTGCTTTTCAGGCAAGTTGCTGCACTGGAGGAAGGAGGAGTTTGAGGACCGAGAGGAAGAAACAGAATAAAAACAATAAGAAGGGTATGGAATTGGAGTTTAGTGAGGAGACTAGTTATGTGTCTAGACCAGACTTAAGGGAAGAAATGCATCCTAATAGTGCATGTATAAGAATAAATGTAGATATGCATTTCTAGTGAAGGACTCAATTACAGCAATTTCCTAGTAGCTTGTTTTTACAAATATGCTGATGTTGCTAATAAAGTGATTAACCCCCCCCCCCAATTTTGGTTGTTGCAAAACCACTCTTGTTCGCTTGACTTTGTCTTCAGAGAATTTAACTTTTAGATAAAGCATGAATATGATACCATATCTTTAGAGTGATGGGAATGTGTGAGTTTGTTAGTGTGGCCTATGGTGTCTTGATGCTTGGTTCAAATGCTTGAGGAATTCCTATTTTTAACTCTGTTTGTGATTTCATTCCTTCACAGGTAATAGGTTACATGAGTTGATAAGATTTGTCAGTGATGTCATGTACTGGTATGACGGAATTAATTCATGCCCTAAAAGTTGTGATGGCTAGGGCTGTGGTCTAGTTTGGTTCGTTTGTGAAGAAGATACAGGAGTTTTTCCTCTATGGACTTCTTTGGCATTCCTAAATAAACAAAGGAAGTTTTAGATTTCCAGAGTTTGAACAGATGTGATTGAAGCTCTTCAAAAGAAGTGAATAGTTTGTACTGATACCATTTCCCTTTGTTGATACAGTCTGTTATGTAAAACTTATCCCAGCAATGCTTCTGTCATTTTCAAAAAGTGAATTTGTTTCTCAAATGGAGCAGAGTTTTCTTTTAGTCTTTTCAAATTTCTGACACTCATTTTTCTTCCTATCTGTTCAGCTGCATTTAGGGTCACTAGTAAGTCTTGCTTTGGTGTTTTGGGGTTTTGTGTTTTGTTTAATTTTCTTTTGTTTTAAATTTATCTTTTATTGATTTCTTAGAGTTCATTAGCAAGCTGCATTTGTGGATGGCATGTTGTGAAGTGTTGTCTTGCAGTCTTTTGCTGAGTGCAATGTGTGTTTAAACCCTGGATTAAAAAAAAAACAAACCACAAACAAAACCAAAACAAAAACCAAACAACAGTTTTAAAGCAAGACAAAGATGAAAGGTACTTGAGATCCAGTCCCCTTGGTCTTAAGCTACAATCTAAGTGCCAGTCTGCAAGAGACAGTAACTGAGCACACGAAAGGAAGGATCAGCTTGGACAGTGGGCCTTTAGACCAAGATAAGGCAGCAGTTGAGAAAAAAGGAGGGAAGGGTGTTTCAGGCTCTGTCCTTCAGTGCCTTAGCTTTTACCAGTTTGTGACAAGCTAAACGTAGTAAGACAGAGTTTAAAAATAATAATCAGGAAGCGGGGAAGTAGCTAGGAATATCCTTTCCCTCTCCCAGATGTGGCCATACATGTTTCACTACAGCTGCAGGAAGGAAGCTGTGGAGAGGGATTAGAGCTGAGTGCTCCTGAGCACTGCTGAGTTGAAGGTGGCTGTAGTAAGACAATGCAGTATATATTCCAGAGGGTTTGCTACAGAAAAGAACCTGGTAAGAAGCAGGTATCAGATGAAGGACAATTGTGTGAGAAGAACAGATCAGCATATGACAAAGTAAAGAGAAAAATGAAGGTGGAGGATACTGTTTTCCTCTTTCCTTGCATGTACATGAGGGGAACTGGGGGAAGGATGGAGTTGATGCACTGAAGAGTATGCTGGCTTTATGCTTCTATGGAGAAGGAGCAGCAAGCAGTTTTTCATGGAGCTGTCATGAGTAGAAAGAAGATTGATGCTGGAGCGTTCCAGATAGACATGACTGCTTTTGTACATAGTCTTAGTTAAGAACGTTGAAGGGGAAAATGTAACATAAACAGCTTTGCCTAACAGCAAAAAGCAAAACTGAAGTCCTTTGAGTGTTCAAGCTGTAAATCAAAGTCTTGAGGAACAGTGACATTGCTGTACACTCTCTGTGCTATAGAAATAGAACTTGTGTGAACTGTCTGGTATCTGAATAGATATGAGAGCAGAGAAAACTGCATATGGGCCAGCCAGAAAAACTTAAACATCAATTTCAGACTAAACACTGATGTGTGATTTTTCTTCTTTTGTGCCTAGCTGGGTCTTCAGTGGCCATGTATTGCTAAGGAATGAGTAAGACTGAGAAGGTTGTAAAATTTTTTGTTTGTTTTTGGGTTTGGCTTTTTTTTCACTTAGGAAATCTGTGAACCATAGCAAAAGAATGACATGGCAGGGAAAAATTTCTGCATTCAGTCTCAAAGAGACTGTTGCTATTTAGGAGGGGCAAAGATAACTTAGGAGTTTCTTTGGCAAATATGTATGATTTTCAGGCTTTTCATACGCTTATCCTCTCGCAGTGTAATTATCACATTTTGTATTGACTCATGGATTGAGGACAGCTTTCAGTTTATGTTTGAGCATGTGTGGTTTTTGTTTGGGGTTTTGTTTGGTTTGTGTTGATTTGGGGGGGGAACAGGACACAACATACACACAACAGCCCTCTGGGTTTTAGGTTGAAGGAAGCCATAGTAATGCCATAACACTATAACCTTGTGGTCAGTAAAATGTTTTGAAGACAAATGTCTAACATGAAGATGCTTTTTTTACAACCATTTTTTTAAAAATCCCTTTTTATTTGGCCAGCTGACTGAAAGCCTGTTGAGACTATTTTGATAGCTCTCTTACCTACCCATCTGCTCACAAGATATGTGCAAATAGAGTAAGGTTAATATTTCGGCTACGTTCAATCCCTTGCTGTAATTTTTGAAGTTATGTCTTAGTGCTGGATCTGGCAAAAATTTCTATTTAAACATCAAAGTTGTAATACCAGATAGGTCAGTGAAAATAGGATTTTTTTTTCCCTAAAGCTGGATGTTTTCTCTGCTAGCATCCTAGAAACTAAGGTAGTTAGTTGGAGTGTAAGTGATGGGTAAAATAATCACAGAGTTGAAGGGAGGTGTCATTAGAACAGTGCACTGGGATGCTGGAGTGCTGGTTCCATTTTTGTCATTCTTTCTGATCTCAGTCAAGTAATTTCCTTTTTGCTTTTTACTAATATCTAAAATAGCAATCCAGGATACTTCACATGAGTATGAAAAGCAGACTAATGCTGGAAGGTGATGTGGGAGAAAGCTTACAAGTTTAAAATAACATTATAAAGAATATCTTCACATATACTGTTTGTTTGTCGTATCCTGCTGTCAGAACTAATCTATAGCATGCCTCCATTTACTTTAATGCTGTTGTGTTGACCCTGACTTAAATCAAAATGTGATCCAGAAAGAATTACCTCAGTCAAACTGAAAACACACTAGTAGCTGAAGTAGAACATGAAAATCATGTGTGAGGAAAACACAGTGAATAAAAATTGACCATGTTATCTCACTGGGGTTTTGAAACTTAAATGTGGGAAGGCTGATTAGGTCTGCACTGTGACTTTGCTCTTGTGAATGAAAAATATTAACCATGTGCTCGGATTGAACAATCTGATACTTGCTTGCAAAATCTTTGGACTAAATTAAAGGAAAAATTGTCATGCAATGGACAGGAAGTTGAGACATGTTCTCCATGACCTTCAGTGTAATCTCAAAGTGAGTGTTATTCCCTCCTCTGCACCTCTCTCTCCCCCACCAGTGTCCAGTT